GGGCAGTGGAGTATAATCTGAAGGGGCTCTTGTGGTGCCCTAGACTTGAAGCTCAATAGGAGCCTTGCAGATGCCTACGATTTTTAGTTGATTTAACAAAAATTATCAAAACAGTACTATGGAGTTGTAGCTGCACATGCATCTTTCCAAGCACTTGATAGAGCCTGCCATATATTTTGTGAAATTGAGTAATTTTAAAAGTATTTCATGAAACCAAATGGAATAAAACCATCTCACTATCTAGAATTAGACATATAGAAAACTATGAGTTTAACATGCGAAATTGTAGAATATATATTGAAACGCGTCTTTAGTGTTTTCTGTTCTAACGGCCTGCATAGACGTGCAAAGATAAAAAAAGACACCCTCTTTTTTATTTTGCAAATGGTATACCCATGTTTGATGGTCATTATTTAGCCAAAATAATATTTTGAATATTGATTTTTAGAATAACACGTGGTTAAGAAATATGAAAAAGTTTTGGATTACATGCAGAATATTTTATTATGTGAGTGTATGATTGAAATGAGTATGGAGAAAAAATTGTTTTTAAATAATAATTGTGTTTTGAAGTTGAGCCCACTAAATTCTCAACCATTGCTAAAACTTTAAAAAAAATTTAAGTCTAATAAAAAAACTCACCTAGCTAGCCTGAACCCAACCACAAACAAAGCTATCTTGCTCACTAACAAAGTATTATTAATTTGGGGGTATTTTTTATTTTAAAATTAATGTTTTTGTTGAAAATTTGAAAAATATATATGCAGTTTCTATGAATTTTCAATATATGCATTTATTTAATTATTTAGCCCTTGTTTGATAGGTATTAAAATTAAATTTTTAATAAATTTTGATCAAAGTTGATAAAATGTTTGGTTGAAAAGTTGTGAACCCGATAAAATGTGTGGTTAAAATTAGTTGTTGACTTTAACTTAGATTAAAATCTAAATTTTAATTTTTATCAAAGAGGTCACTGAATAGTCACTAAACTTTGCTAAAAGTTCCCAAGAGGTCACTGAATTTCGAAACTACCCTAAATAGTCACTGAACTTTTTCAAAACTACTCTAATTAGTCACTCAACTTTGCAAAAAATTCCTAGAGGGTCACTAAATCATTGATGTATGTGGTCACAATTTGCAAAGTTCGGTGACCTCCTAGGAAGTTTTAGCAAAGTTTAGTGACTATTTAGGGTAATTTTGAAGTTCAGTGACCTCCTAGAAACTTTTTGCAAAGTAGTGACTAATTATGGAAGTTTTGAAGTTCGGTGACCTCCTGGGAACTTTTGGCAAAGTTCGGTGACTATTTAGGATACTAACTAAAGTAATTAAACTAATATGAAAAATAAGAAAATGTTTTATTACACATATACTTGTAACATTTGAGACTTGACCCCAAGCATTTCCGTGTCTTACGCCTTTAAGAACCTTGCTAATAACCCAACCAACAACCAAAAATCAAAATTCCATGACAAAGCATATTTATTCAAACCAGATTTGTTTCTGATATAAATTTCAGTATGCAAATATACATTTATAGTCACATGTACGTATAGATTATAAAAGAGAATGCGTACCCGTTAATAGTTAACACAAAAGGAAAAAAAAATTATGTGACTTTTACTATTTTTTTTTTTTTTTTGCGTTAAATTCTTGAAGAGCTTCAAAAGCCAGAGACGAATAGCCATCCTAACTACGAGTCTTACATTAAGTCCCTTGCAATCGAGACAAAGATGAAATAATGCGAGTATTTTCATTGTGGATGCCTTTTCAAAATCAAATCAGACATTGTTGGAATTTCTAAAGAAAATTGGTGTCCCTGCATAATACCTATTCACTGTCATTACTATGTTCAAAATTATAATCTAACTGGATTTTGGCAAAAAGAGATACTGAAAAGTCAGCGCGCTATCGTGTACTTGTATTACAAAATGGTGTTTCCCACTCATCGGACGGTTACAAAATGCGCTATCGTACGGTTTATTGTATACTCTGATCAAGTCGAGAATCACATCTGGGTCTTTCACAATTTGGACGGAATGACATAAATAAAACAATATAATTCTTAAAATTTTTAAGGACAATTTAGTAGGACCTTTTTACGGTTAAGAGATAAAATTCCACAAATAAAGATAAAAATATAGACCAACTTATAAGGGTTTGGACTACTCATCTTAATATGGTGAAAATTTTAAGATGAAACTCAAAATCTTAATATGGTTTATGAGCCCATTAAGCTGAAATGAGCAATTCGATCCATTTAAGACTAAAAAATGAACACACGAATTTTAAGATTAGTTTGCTCCAACGAGCCACCATCTTTGGAGACATGTTAAGAAATAAAATCTCATATCGAATAAAGATAAAAATATAAACCAACTTATATATTTACAGCAGCTTTTGCTTAAGAATATGTTGGGAATTTGCAGCCTAATAT